TATGCTATTCCATTGTATTACCATTCCACATCCCTTTCAAATCAATTCTACTATTGATAGACATTTGGGATGTTTCCAGAATTTGCTACTAAAAGCAATACTACTGTGATCACATTTATACATGTCTTTGGATGCACATGTTCAAGAGTTTCGCTAGGGTATATGTCTAGGAGTTAAATTTCTGGGTCATAGGTCATTCGTAACATCAAGATAAAGACAACTTGTTTTCCAGGTATATATAGCAATTTAGACTCCCATCAGCAGTGTGTATCTTAGCCAAAACTTGGTTTTGTCACACAAAAAACTTTCTGCTAATCTTGGTATCAATGCTCTTTCATAATTTACTTTACAAGACCTGATTACTAATTATTAATCTGTAAGTTTGATTCCTTGGAGATATTTGAGTGTAAATTTATTGTCAAGCTACCCTATTCACCCTCAAGTACTTACCACATAACTCTCAGATTATTTTAACAGAACCAGGGCACCATTTCTTGAACTACTGTTTCTCAGTGTAGGCAAAGTCTCACATTTGAGTTTCTTCTTTTTTTTTTTTTTTTTTGGACATAATGGAGCCTAGTGATGATGAACAAGTCACTCAGGTTCATTAGGTCTCAGTTGTAAAATCGGAATAATATGAACTGACTTCACAAGCCATAAAAGAAGTATGCATAGCAATGAGATAAGCTCCATCTTGGCTCTGTGGTTGATTCTTGGGGAATACTTCTGTGGATAAACAGTTCCAACTACGTATTATAGGTTGTCAGTAGATCTTTCCAGTGATAATCTTCCCCATATTTGGAGACAAAGTTGATGTCAGCGACAACCTTGTTTCTGTTCTGGAGAAAGTTCCTGAAGTTATTTGAGAATCCTGTAGATTTAGGAAGAAACATATCTAGAAGACTGAAAGGAGTATATTAATAATGTGTAAACTCCGCTTGGGTCATATCAGAACTACTGGAGCAAATATTTTGAATAGAAGTTGGGTAAGCATTTGTTGGTTGATTGAGACCTTGGAGATAAGCATGTGGTCTGATTCACTCTCCTAATTTTGTTTTAGGGAATTTTCTTTTTTTTCCCTGAAGGAGTACTGAGTTTCATGAAAAAAATCTTTGTTTTTATAATCAGGTAGTTGAATAGTAAAACAATAGATAAACACATTTAATTTCAATCTTTTTAACCTAGGGAGGCTACTAAAGTCCTTATTGCTGAACTATTTAAATAACAGCTTCATGCTAATGAGGGGGCAGGCATGGCATGGGTAAAATTTTGGAAATCTCAAATTAGTAATTAGACACAACCTTTCTCCTCTTTCACCAGAGGAGAACTGAGAACACTGCAGAGCCTTCTGAACTTGAACTTTATCATTTTTGCCCTGAGCTATCTGGCAATAGAGTTGTCAGAATCTGAACAACACAAAGGAAAAATGGGAGGAAAGGGTGTTAAGTATTCCTGTTGCTCAAAACCTAGCTAGTTGGGAGGTGACAGAAAACTACACGTTGTTCTTGCCAACAAGTTACGATACAAACTGATGTATTGTCTAAATTCCCTAATAACCTAACTTGCGCTGCTATCTTTGTCTGGTATTCAACCAATTTTTACCTTTAAATTACAACTGTTCAAAGGGCTTGCAAATTTAATACTTCTTACATAGTCCTAGGCATTCTGCAAAATGCTTGGCAAATTAAATGTGATTCTATTGAATAACCTCACACATTTTTATAAAAATTCTTCTTTAAATCCAATAAGAAACTGCATTTGCTATCACAGGCCCTTAAACTCTTATTTACTGGTCTGAAAGGCAAGCTATAGAGCTGTTGTTCTATAACAGCTACTATAGTCATTAATTTAAATTAGAAGATAATTGAAGTATGAATTAGAAACTGGTATGGCATACTACTGGGTGATAACATATTTAATTGGAAATAAAATTTGATGAATCATTATGGAACTTTTTATAAGATTGAGCTAAGGTTAGTAGAGTGTTGTTATTGTTGCTTTCTTTTCATAATTATTTACAAAATTCATATCTTACAGTGCTCAGGTTTTAAAATTTTTTTCTTCTAAAACAAACAAAACTTTTCAGGACGACATTGTGTTATGGGGAAGTCTCTTTGCTGTTTTACACTGTGCAGTGATTTAGAACTTTATTTATTGTACAAGTAAATGATGGATTGATAACATACTTAGTTGTTTCCTTCCAAAAGAGAAATGAAAACACGTCAAATAACGCCTGAAATGGGAAATAAATTAGTTGACAACATAGAACACTACTTAATACTTCCATTAAGAAATTGTTTTCACTCCTTTATATTGGAACAATTACAGAACTGCTCCTGAGTGAATGAGGGTTGAATAGCATTACTTTAGAATATGAGCCGTGTGTAGATAAATATATTCAGGATCTGCACTTTTCTTTGGCTTAAATAAAGTAAAGCCTCTTTCAGATTGCATGGGGGAGTTTTTGCGATTTTGAAATGTGTATCTCAAAAGCTGTCTTGTTATGAGCATATTTTCATTCTTTGTAGGCTACCGAATCTTGGTTTCTCTGAATTCTCTTATCTGTTCCTAAGAACTTTCCTCCTTCTTCTGTCGTCTAGAATATTTAAAATATAAGTGGAATTATGTATTCTTTAAGGATAGACAGAATACAGCTGTGAAATCTGGTCTGGTCTGCTTTTGTTTTGCTTTCTTCTTTCTTTTCTTTTCCTTTCTTTCTCTTTCTCTCTCTCTCTCTCTCTGTCTCTCTCTCTCTCTCTCTTTCTTTCTTTCTTTCTTCTCTGGAAGGCAGTGGCACACTCACAGCTCACTGCAGCCTCGAACTTCTGGACTTCTGGGCTCAAGTGATCTTTCTGCCTCAGCCACCCAAGTAGCTAGGGCTACAGGCATGAGCCACCACGCCCAGCTTGCTTTTCAGAGGGTACATTTTTAATCATCTTTCCAAACTCTTGCATGAAACTTGATCTATACCTGCTTTCTACCTCAGAATAAGGTCAATTTTCATAATTTCTAATTTGTCACACAATCTTCTGTGTCCTCTCAGTTTTCAAATTTATTGCCATATAACGGTAGTTCTTTGAAACTTCTCTGATTGTGAAGTTGTATCTCCTTTCTTAACAATACACACATACATATACACAAGCACACACTTTTTTTCTTTAATCTGAATCATAAGGCTTTCTGTTTTACAGATTCTTTCAAAGAGCAGATTTTTAAAAGTATTTTTATCCTTTCTAATATATTTTATTGTTTTCTATTTCATTAAATTCAGTAAGTTTCCCTTTATTTCTTAGTAGTATATTTCACTTTATTTGCTTTTTTCCTAATTTCTTAGGATAAAAACTATTTTTTCCTTTCATTTACTTTATCAGTGTAAGCATTTAAGGCTATGCATTCTTTCCTGAACACAGTTTCATCTGCATCTCATTGGCTTTAGGTTAAGTGTTCTTTGAATTGCTTCCTAGAAAATTAGTAACATTAGTTGTAATTTTCTCTTTGAATGGGAGAGGATGTTTCTTAATTTGCAAGTACTTAAACTTTAGGCCACCCTTAAGTGATTTATTTTCAGCAGCCTGTGATCAGATAATATGGCTATTAAATCCCAATTTTTTAGAAAAGATGTGTGTGTGTGTGTGCGTGCTTAAATATATAACTGATTTTAAGAACAATTTCATAGGCGTTAAGTATATTATCTGGAAATGAATATATGTAATCAACTTTGTTGTATTATTTTATTTTCCTAATATTTGATTATATTTAAATTTACCGCATCAGCCTAATTTTTATAATATGTTAAATCCCTTGTAATAAGTATTTTAATCAAACTCTCCTTATATTTGTAGTAATTTTTAATTAATGTATTTTGTGGCCATACTCTTTGTGCATATAGATTTATGTCATTTGCTTCGTAACTTTTGCCACTGTAACACTATGTCATCCTTTTCCTTAGGGAATGCCCATAACCTTGAATTTCTCCTTGTTTAATATTTATTTCTTTTTGCTTGCCTTGCCTCAAATCTCTTATTTTTAATCTTTCATTGTCAATTGGTTTATAAGAATATTTCTTATAAATAGTACATAGCTAGCTTTTTGTTCTTATTTAATCTAATTTGACTTTCTCTGTTTTTTAATGAGAGAATCTGGTGTATTAATATTTAGTGTAACAAGTGATATACTTGATTTTATTTTTTCAGTCTCATGTATTGTTTATTATCTAGATTATTCTATGACATCTTTTTTTTTTTTTTTTTTTTATCAATTTGGTCTTCAAGTCCTTCCTTACTAATTTGAAGAATCTAATGAACTTTTTCATCCCATTAATAATCACCTGCTGTTTTCAGGCATTAATAGTCAAACATCTATTTTTTTTTAATAAAATAAAGTAACTCTTTGTGCCCATTTTAGATGCTTGATTCTCCCAGTCCTTTCCCAACCTAAAAAAACATTTTGTCTTCTACTTCCCCATTTTGTTTTCTTCTCCAAGATGAGATCCCGAGAATGACCTTATATCCCTCCAACCTTCTACCCAGCCGTAAGTCTGCAGTTTTGCCAAGATAAGTTAGAACTTCTAATTCCAGATAACTATGGTACTATCACTGGCAGTATGAAAGCTCCATGTGAATGCGTATGCCACATTTGAAGGGACTCTTTCTTTCTTTTTTCATTGAAAAACAGATTCACATTGTGGTTATGAGTTTGGGTGCTCGTATCAGACTATATGGATTTTTTTCTCAAAGATGTTGCCTGCTAACTGTGTACACTTGGACAAATTAAATTCTTTGTGCTTCAGTGAAAAGAAGAATTATATTGTGGTTGTTCAAAATATCCAAACGTTCTTCAACTCCCCCCAAAAAAACTGAAACCTCATTCTCCTTCACTTTTCTGTTTGGTGAATTTAGTCTCTCACTTCTGGTGAATAGGATACAGTGGAAGTGACAGCGTGTGACATATGAGATGAAGTCATAAAAGACATTGTACCTTCTAACTCTCTGTCTCAGAATGTTCACTCTGGGGGAAGCCAGCTGCCATGCCGTAAGGACACTCAGGCAGTCCTATGAAGAGGCCCATGAGGTGAGAAAGTGAGGCCTCCAGCCAACAGCCATGTGAGTGGGCCATTGAGGAAGCAGACCCTTCTAATGCCTGCAGCCCTGGCTGGCATCCTGACTACCACCTTAAATGAGACCCTGAGCCAGAGCCACTACTTCCAAATTCTTGACCCACAGAAATTGTAAAATCATATTTGTTGTTTGAAGCCACTAAGTTTTGGGAGTAATTTGTTATATAGCAAAAGATAATTAATACATTCACTTCCTAAGATTATGGTGAGGAATTAAGGATACAGCATGAAAAGAACTTTGCTATTATTTTTATTATCTGATCCAATTTATGTTGAAGGGCCTTCAATACTTTCTTCTTTTACTCTCTCTATCTTGACATTTGTCCAAATCATTTTTGTTTGTTTGTTTGTTTTTTAGAGATGAGGTCTTGCTATGTTGCCCAGGTTGGAGTGCAGCAGTTACTCACAGGCACGATCCCACTACTGATCAGCACGGGAGTTTTCACCTGCTCCATTTTCCACCTGGGAGGTCATCATGTTGTTGGCGAACTTAGTGCGGGCACCTGATCAGCATAGCGCAGTACAGCCCAGAACCCCTTGGCTCCAGCGATCGTCTTACTTCAGCCTCTTGAGTAGCTGGAACTGCAGGCCCACACCACTGCACCCGGTTAGTTTGTTTTTCTTAGAGTTTTGTCTCTAGGATTTTCCTCAGCTGAGTACTTGAAGGCTAATTTCTCCTTGTGAATCTGCAAATATCCTTATTTTACCCTTTATTTTACCATGTATCATTTATAGGTAAATGATATCTTAGCTGTGTATTGAATTTCTAGGTTTTTTTTTTTCTCTTCAGTACTCTATAAATGTTACTCCAATATCTTCTAGCTTCTCCCGTTTTCTCCTAGTGAATGGTTATTCTGCTCTTATCTAGCAGGTGATAAATCTGTCAATAGATAGTTTTTCCTTTTTATGTGTAAGTTGTTATTTCTTCCTTAAAGTTCATAATCTTTTCCCATTTATTCTTTAAATTTTAGACTATAACCAGGATGTGTTTAGGTTGATATCTTTGCTTATCAATTCTGCCTGTAAATCGGGAACCTCTTCCAATATTCAGACTATGTTTTCAGCTCAGAATAATTATTTTATCATTTGTTTGATTATTGCCTTTAGTTGTACTGGATCTTAGTTAAAATGCCCATTCTGATTCAAAGTATCTGGAAGACAAATATTTGTCAACTAAGGGAAAGGTGACCACGCATCAGTGGTTTTACTGAGACTACCTGGTTTACACCTTCAGGCTTTATACTTAGAAAATACTTCAGTCATCTTCTGGTCATGAAGTTACAAACTTCAGGACAAAAGCTAACCAGCTAAGACCAGCAGAACAAATTCCAAGAACTCGGGGCTTTAATTAACTTGAATTAATTTGGACTTGCCCTACCTTTAACTTCATACTAAGTGAGATAATAATTCCCCATATTTTCAAGCCATTTTTGAGATGAGTCTCTTATGGCCAAAGGCGTCTTAATTTATACAACATCCTTTTGGTACCTAACTAAATATTCACCAATATTTGGCACATTTGTTAAATCTTTTGGTGTCTACCTCCTCTATGTAATATAAATACGGTCTGAATATCCATTCAGAAATTATAGTTGATTTGTAAAAATAACTACTATATAGCCTATATTAACTGATAGTTATTCCTTCGCAACCTTCTTTCACTCTTCCATATATATGCAGAGTAAATCTACATCATTATGTTGATTAAACAAAATAGCAATGAAATCAGGAAGTTACTGCTCATTGTACACTTATTTCAATTATAGAAAAAGCCAAAACTTTACTCCCTTATGTAACACTTCTCTAGAAAAGCAGTTGAAATAACCTAGTGTCATTCTAAAATGATTTGTATATTATGTAGACCGGAATCTAGGGCTATATATAAATGAAATTATTTTAGAAGTTAAATCTTCATGAGAAAACAAATTAAATGGTTTACTAACCTCAAGCTGATTAAATGTTTTTATTAAATGCAGCCTCAGCCAGCACCTCTTTTCATGGCTGCAATAATTAAGTATAATAAATATTCAAATCAGTAATTGAATTTGTTAAAAAAACATGCTCAGCTCACTGAAGACTTTCTAATAAATAGAATTCAAGTACCATATTTTCATACTTCATGACACTTGCCTCATCTTAGTTTAATGACTGCCATTTCTTGCACTATAACAAGATTTTATTTTTCTTTTGTTTTATGCTATTCAAACAAATACATTCAAAATCATGGCTACACCTATGTATAACCATATTCTGGGAGTTGGTTTATGTGTTTCTTTATTTTCTCACAAGTAAAGATAGGTCAGATGTTGCCAAATTAGTAAATAACTAAACTTGAGACAGGAAATACTCTAGAGACACAATCTGCTTAGTTTTGCATACTTTTAGTCACTTCTCCCATTACTCTGTCCAGCTTTCCAGTAATACCCATAACATCACCTTGATTTCATATGACCATGCAGTAAAGTGATTACTGCACTTAGAATTTGGTTGCTTTTCCTATGCTAACAGCTTAAAAGTTTAAAATAACTGATGTTCAAAACAGTGAAGATTTCCTTTTATAAACAAGTCGGAAAGGAAACTGTTTTTATGTTATTATCCTCAAGTATTTTAACTAATATAAAACGTCTTTCAGTCTTTTAGGCAAACCATTTAGACAAAAAGTACAAATAATAAATTTACATTGTGTTAAGCTGCGATCATATTTCTTTCTCTTGAATTACTTTTGACATTATCCTTATGCACCTGGTGATACTGAAAGATGAGTCCAATAGTGTAATACAATAGTTCAATATGAACTTCTGTTCTAGTTTCCATTAGTTGCATCAATTCAAATTGCACCTGAAAAAGATCTAAGCATGACCTAAAGCCAAGACAGCAGATGAGGGCAGACAATAATAATATTTAGATCTTTTTTTTTTTTCTTTTGGAGATGGAGCCTCACTCTGTCGCTGAGGCTGGAGTACAGTGGTGTGATCTCAGCTCACTGCAACCTCCACCTCCCAGGTTCAAGCGATTCTCCTGCCTCAGCCTCCTGAGTAGCTGGGACTACAGGTGCCTGCCACCACGCCCAGCTAATTTTGATATTTTTAGTAGAGACAGGGTTTCACCATATTGGCCAGAATGGTCTCAAACTCCTGACCTTGTGATCCACCCAATCTTCATTGCATCATTTAACTTTCATTGGTATCACAGTAATTCACTAACATTCATTCCTTACAGGCAGTTGTGAATAATTGAACAATTTTAAACATCATCTCATAGACAAAAGAATATTTATTCATTGGCTTAGCTTAACAAATCAATATTAAACACCTACAGTGTGCCAGGCACTGTTCTAGACACTGGGGTTACAGCAGTGAACACAATAAATACGCTCTCCAGTCTCGTGGAGTTCACATACTGGTGCAGGGAGAGAGATGCATACAAACAAAAATGCATATATAGTAATTCACAAATTGGTAGGTGCTATGAAGAAAAATAAACCATGGTAAGGATGACACAGAGTGCTGGATGTACGTTTTAGTACATATAGGTTGGCCAGAGAAGTTGCCATTTAAGAAGAAAAGGGAGTAGGCTCAGTGGATTCGGAGGGAAGTATAAGTTCAAGATTCTGAGTCATTCATGTCCTTGGCCGATCAATGAAGAAGCAGATGCTATGGCTGGAACTCAGTGTGCATGTTGGGGCAGTGGTAGGAGGCTACAGTGGTAAGACAGGGCCACCTCCCATAGGGTCTTGAAGATCATGGTAAAGACTGTGGCATCTCCTCTCTAGTATTTTGAGCAGAGGAATGGTAGCATTCTACTTAGGATTTAAAAGGGTTGCTCTAGCTGATCTGTGGAGAATAGGTTTGTAAGGCAGCTTAGTGAGTGAAAGGAGAAAAGTTAGGCGACTGCAAACATCCAGGTGAGAGTTGATATCAAACTGTATTGGTGTGGCAGATGCATTTCATGTGATGGGCTCAATTAATGGCCTCCCTATTTCAGCCTTCTCTTTCTTGGGACTGGCTCGCCTGCTGGAAGGTGAGGAAACAGCCTGTCATCCCAGCTGAGGCCATCCTAGATCAGCCAACTGTTGGTTGCTTGTGTGTGAGCGAACCCCAGCCAAGACCAGAAGACCCGCACAGCTGAGCTCAGCCAAGATCAGCAAAACCTCTCAGCTTATAATCATATAAACTTAACAGTTTAGGTGTGGTTGTGACACAGAATTATTGTATTATTGTATGCATGTATGCATTGTAAGCATTATATATTACACATGGGAATCATAGAAACAGTGAAAAGTCAGTAATTTCTGGAGTATATATTGAAGTTAGAGCAAATTGTGTGAGGTAGAGAAGCCACATACTCCAAATTTCTGGTCTGAGAGATTGGAAGAATGAATATGGATGATGGAGGCAGACATTGAATCTGAAACAAATTTTTCATTTTGTGAAATTTTGTGAAATTTCATTTTGTGTTGAATATCTTGTGACTCACTGAAATGAAAATTGTAAAATAAAATTTGTCCCTAATGCATAAAATTTTATAATGTTGTTCTATTCTTTATGAAAAAATATTCTGACTGGGTGCGGTGGATTATGCCTGTAATCCCAACACTTTGGGAGGCCAAGGCGGGTGGGTGGATCACTTGAGGTCAGGAGTTCAAGACCAGCATGGCCAACATGGTGAAACCCTGTCTCTAAAAAAAAAAAAAAACTATCAAACATCAGCATAGCTTTGGCTAGAGACACAACAGAAATAAAATTCCAGTTAAAAACCTGCTTCTCTTTAGTCACTCTGCTAGAGAAAAAGTGTCAAAGTGATATAGCCTAATTATTTTTTAAAATGATAAATTAGTGGAAAAAATATTTATCCACTAATTGTGGAACTGGACCTTGGTACATGCTGGCCCTTTACCTGATCAGTGCAGTGCATTTTCCCCCAGCTGCTGTCAGTGCTACTGCTAGCAGCTCACAGCCATCCACTCTCCTGGGAAATGTCCTTGGCCAGTGGGGCCCGCCTACCAGGAGATGCCTGGGAAGTTACAATCCACTCACCCATCAACTGAATAGTGCAGGGGTACAAAAGTCCAGCACCTTGCCTCATGGTTGGAGAACTCAATTTTGTCTATCATGCAGAGAGAAGTCAGCCTTGTCATTTCCTCCTAATTAATAAATATTTCACACTAGTTTTCCATTGCCCAGAAATTAAAACCCTATAGTATCTCATTGCTTCCTCTTACCTAAAAACATTTAAGTCACTGTGTTTAGTATCCTTGGTTCTTGTGCTGTTTTCTGTAACTATGCTGCCTCAAGTCACTTCTTGTTGAAGAGCTAGCAGTTATGGGACAGAATTTGCTGCGTGGAATGTCACTTGAGTTCAGTTTGTCAATAGAAAAGCACTTCACCATTCGCAGCCAGAGCTGCTCTGGTAATCAGCAAAGGCCAGATTCCAGTTGGATCCCCATCTCTGCTCAGCCCCCTTCTCCTGTCTTTTCCTGTTATCCTCAGCCTCTTACTGGTTCCTCTGAGAGCACTTCCTCAATAAATCACCGAGCAAGAAAGAATCCCTGCCTCGTGCTCTATTTCTAGGAAGCCTGAAGTAAGACAAGGCTTTATTAAAATTGCA